TCCAATACAACCAAGACTCAAACAAAAGAAGAAGCGGCGACTACAGTACAGCAGATCATTGAAAAGGAATCAGTCTCTGAGACCCAACAACTGGAGGACCGGCAAGAAGACAAAAAAACATCCAAGAACTCCAAACGGAAGAAGAAGAGGATGGCAGCAAAAAAAGCTGCCTCTCAATTGAAAGTGATTAGTGATGAAAATAGTTCTGGAGTAGAAGGTGAACAAGTGGTTTCTACAGTTGGGGATCAGGCAGCCTTTGTTACAACAGAGACTCAAACAAAAGAAGTGATCACTAATATTGAACAGATCATTGAAAAAGAATCAGACTCTGAGATCCAACGACTGGAGGACAAGCAAGAAGACAAAAAAACGTCCAAGAACTCCAAACGGAAGATGAAGAGGATGGCGGCAAAAAAAGCTGCCTCTCAATTGAAAGTGATTAGTGATGAAAATAGTTCTGGAGTAGAAGGTGAACAAGTGGTTTCTACAGTTGGAGATCAGGCAGCCTCTGTTACAACCGAGACTCAAACAAAAGAAGAAGCGACGACTACAGCACAGCAGATGATTGCAGAAGAATTGACTAAATCTAAATGTAAGAAAAAGAGGAAAATGGCAAGTAGAGCTGAACTGGGAGTTGCTGTAATTCCAATGGAAACTGCTAAAAACTTGATTGAAGAGACTAAAATACCAAAAACTTATTTAGATATAGAACCAGAGATCCCCCAGACAGTTCCTGAGGACATGGAGCCAAAACCTGGTACAGACACAGAAAACGTCACAGGTTTTGTTCCTGTAGTTAACACAGAAGGGGAGAGTGGTGTAGTGGAAAACCAGAGACCAGCCGCGCTGCAGCCAAAGGTCACAATAAATGATGAGGTCGTCCAAACGTCAACTCAGGAATTCAAGACTCAAGCAGGAGAAGAGTCAGCTGAGAATACCGATACATGTGAAGAAGAAGAAAGACCAATGAAAAAGGTTTCTCTGTGGAAGAGGATCAAAAAAGCTTTATCTCCAACACTTCTTCGCAGGTTTAAAAACCGATGTAAAGTCCATCCCTTATAGACATCGAGTTATGTCTATACGGGATTGGCAGTGATTGGAAAAGGAGATTTTGTTGTTAATTGGACATTTTAATATTAAAAAGCCAGGACTACATGGGGGGAAATGTCTCCCCGTGTAGGTGTGGGTTCACTCCGGGTGCTCCGGCTTCCCCCACATTCAACAAAATCAGTGCTCAAGTTCATCTATCATAACATTTTTATTTCTAAATTTAAAGAGAAAATAAGACAACCACATTTATTAATTAAAGAGAGATTTGGAAAAAGGAAACGTGAACAACATGGAACAAAAGCAGCCTTTTAGAGGTCCAAACATATACAAATTGGAAAAAATTTAGAAAACTTCTTGTCTTTCTTGGCAAGAAATATATAAAAAAATTCCCTTCTCACCCACCGCGGGTGGTTCTGATCCTCTGAGCTCGGGTCCTCTACCAGAGGCCTGGGAGCTTGAGGGTCCTGCGCAGTATCTTGGCTGTGCCAAGGACTGCACATTTCTGGACTGAGATGTCTGATGTTGTTCCTGGGATCTGTTGTAGCCACTGCTCCAGTTTGGGGGTTACTGCCCCGAGGGCCCCGATGACCACAGGCACCACTGTGGTCTTCACCTTCCAGGCCCTCTCCAGTTCTTCCCTGAGGCCCTGGTATTTCTCCAGTTTCTCGTGCTCCTTTTTCCTGATGTTGCAATCACTTGGTATTGCTACATCAACCACAACGGCTTTCCTCTGATGTTTATCCACTACAACAATGTCTGGTTGGTTCGCCATTACCATTTTGTCTGTCTGGATCTGGAAGTCCCACAGGATCTTAGCTCTGGTGTTCTCCACCACCTTTGGGGGTGTTTCCCACTTTGATCTCGGGGTTTCCAGTCCATATTCTGCACAGATGTTTCTGTACACTATGCCTGCCACATGGTTATGTCGTTCCATGTATGCTTTCCCTGCCAGTATCTTGCACCCTGCTGTGATGTGCTGGACTGTCAGGGGCCTCCTTGCACAACCTACACCTTGGGTCTTGTCTGGTGTGGTAGATCTGGGCCTCTATTGCTCTGGTGTTTAGGGCCTGTTCCTGGGCGGCCAGGATGAGGGCTTCTGTGTCCTTGAGTCCAGCTTTTTCCAGCCATTGGTAGGATTTACTGATATCAGCCACTTGGGTTATTTGCTGGTGGTACATCCCATGTAGGGGTTTGTCCTCCCATGATGGTATCTCTGGCACCTCAACCTCCGTTCCCTGTTGTCTGAGACATTCACTGAGCACATTGTCTGTTGAGGCTTTGTCCCTGATGTATTTATGGATCTTAGTTGTTTCGTCCTGGACAGTGGTTCTCACACTCACTAGTCCTCTGCCTCCGTCCTTGCGGCTCGTGTACAGTCTCAGGGTGCTGGATTTGGGATGGAACCCTCCATGCATGGTTAGTAGCTTTCTAGTCTTAATATCTGTGGCTTTTATCTCCTTTGGCCAGCTAATTATTCCAGCAGGGTATCTGATTACTGGCAGGGCATAGCTGTTTATCGCACGGATTTTGTTCTTGCCATTGAGCTGGCTTCTCAGGACTTGCCTTATTCGTTGGAGGTATTTAGCTGTGGTCCTTTCCTTGTGGCCTCATCGAGGTTGCCATTTGCTTGTGGTATACCTAGGTACTTGTAACTGTCCTTTATGTCTGCTATTGTTCCTTGTGGGAGTGAGACTCCTTCTGTGCGGATCACCTTCCCCCTCTTTGTGATCAGACGACCACACTTCTAGTCCGAATGACATCCCAATGTCCATGCTGTAGATCCTGGTGGTGTGGATCAGTGAGTCGATGTCTCGCTCACTCTTGGCATATAGCTTGATGTCATCCATGTAGAGGAGGTGACTGATGTTGGCCCCATTTTTGAGTCTGTATCCGTAGCCAGTCTTGTTGATAATTTGGCTGAGGGGGTTCAGGCCTATGCAGAACAGTAGCGGGGACAGGGCATCTCCTTGGTATATGCCACATTTGATGGACACTTGTGCAAGTGGTTTGCAGTTGGCTTCAAGGGTGGTTTTCCACAGCTTCATCGAGTTTGCAAATGAAGGCTCTCAGAATCCTGTTGATGTTATACATCTCTAGGCATTCAATGATCCAAGTATGCGGCATTGAGTCATAGGCTTTCTTGAAATCGATCCAAGCCATGCACAGGTTGGTGTGTCGGGTTTTGCAGTCTCGGGCAACTGTGCGGTCTATGAGGAGTTGGTGTTTGGCTCCTCTGCTATTTACACCGATACCCTATATATATATATATATATATATATATATATATATATATATATATAATATATAATATATATATATATATATATAATATATATAATATATATATATATATATATATATATATATATATATACTGGCAGGGCATAGCTGTTTATCGCATGCCCTGCCAGTATATATATATATATATATATATATATATATATATATATATATATATATATATATATATATATATATATATATATATATATATATATATATGGCTGCACAGTGGCGCAGTTGGTAGCACTGTTGCCTTGCAGCAAGAAGGTCCTGGGTTCTGTTCCCGGCCCCGGGGTCTTTCTGCATGGAGTTCCATGTGCATGCGTGGGTTCTCTCCGGGTTCTCCGGCTTCCTCCCACAGCCCAAAAACATCTAGATAGATAGATACCTTCCTTGTTCTCTTGCTGGCTTCCTTTTTGGGCTTGTAAATAAGCAGACATAATTCCACAATTTGCCTGACATCCAGTTAGTTTTAGTCCATTATTTCCAAGATGAGCGTCCCGCTGTGTCTTTGGTAATGTTAATATTGACCCTAAATCCTATTTATAGTTTTCCAGACAATAGAAACATTCAAAAACACACACAGATTACTAAAGCTTTTTTGAACTGTTGTAACCATGAGACAATCTCCCCTTCAGTTCAACCTTATAACTGGAGACACATTGTTGATGTTACCATTATAAAGTAACTTTTAATTAAGTTTTGGCAAAGATCAAAGTGATTTTCATAGGCGGCAGAGTGCTGTTGTTAGCAGCTGCTGAAAGTAACTAAAATAGTTACTTTACAAATCAAGTTATCAAGTTTATAGCATATTTTAAATAGCATTTTGTCATTTGTGATTATATGAAAACATCTGCCTCGTTTATAAAGCTTTTTTTGGCTGGAAAAATGTTGACACCGCTTTATTGACCCTCATTTTTTGACATAAAGTTTAAAATATTTAACAAAAATTAAAATTACCTTCGGTGTGAAAAAAAAAAAACATCACACAGTCCAACTTATTTTAGTTACTGTGATAAAGAGAGTTGAAATGCGTAAGATTTTTGAGAAGAAAGAAAGAAAGAAAAATACAACAGCTTGCCATGCTGGAATACAGTTACATAAAAATTACGCAAGATTTTACAGTTAAATCTGTTCACGCAAAATCCCACAAATCAACAAAGGAAAGGTTACTTTTTCAAAGTAACTATGCCCTCACTGCCTGTTTGTTTTCTGTGGAGAAAGTTCGGCTGTAATCTAAGAATATAATCTGTTAAATTTCTCAGAAACACACAGACAAAGACAAGAATATAGAGCAGCACAATAATGCATTTTCAGTTTATAATGCATGCACTTTAATTTATGTATTTATCTTGATATTAAGAAACATGTTGTTTTTCAAAAACATTAAGTTTTTTGCTGTTTGTCTGTTGAAATTGTTTTTACTTGATATTACTGACAGAGCCATAACAAAATATTGCTTTATTATTTTAATTATTAAATAATATACACTGTGTTAGGTCTTGGTTCAATAAGCTATATGCAATCATTTCAATATATGGTAATAAACATTGAACCAGTCCGGCCCTCGACTTGTAGAAATTAGGTTTTTACACTAATGTCTCTACAGTTAGAGGTTTTTGTACGACGACTCAACCAGTTTGTATCACTGTGGTTCACGTTTGGTGGAGGAACCAGGCTGGATGTTGGAAGTAAGTTTAATATTTCACGTATTTCATTAAAATATGAGCGGTACATTGTTGTTAAGTTCATCAACAAACTAATATAATTGGAAACGTCCATAATTTAGGTTTTTATTCATTTGCTTCAGTCAGAGATGAAAACTCCAGATTGGGACAGTAATAAGATTATTGAGAGGGAATACATTTATATAATATTTCTGTTAAAAAGATTTTTGTTCATTATGTGGAGTGAAAATATAACTTAAGACTCGTGTAGTTTTTTTAAACCCAAATCAGTTTGTTGTGTTCAGAGTCAGAGGTTTTTGTAACATTTAAATAATGCTGAACATGTTATTCTTCAAACATTTTTTAAATAATTCTATATTGTTTCAACTAAAAAATTTGAATGAAAATCACATTGAACTATCTCAAAATGTTTTGTAATGATCTTCATATTACAGTTTTAAAATCGCAGGTATATTATTTTAAAAATTGTATTTATGCTCAGTTGCTGACCTGCTTTAAGAATTAGTATTGACAGTTTTTTTGCTTTATTTTATGTATTACTTAAAAAAAGTTAAACATGATCTACCAAGATGACCATCACATAGTTTTGATTCAGATGTTTCAAAATTATATTATTTTTAAGATTTACTTTAACATATAATCACAGGGTGGTAAAATATGTCATTGCAATCATAGATTTGGATTAATTCTGGTCTCACAAGTACATTTTTCAAATTCAGACATGTTTTATCAGCTGATTTAATTTAGTCAAATGTTTTAATTACTTGTATTGTTGATGGGTTTGTAAAGTTTTTTCTGTTTTGTCATTTCAAAACTGGTCTATACTGTTAATAAGATCTTAGATCACAAAATGAACAATTTCTATTAAAACATATGCATTATATAAAATAAAATTAACTTTAGAAAGCCAAAAACATTAAATTTATTCGGCTTAATTTATTACAAATAATTTTTAATTGGGTTTTAAATGTTTTGTCAAATGTTTGAATTTTAAGCTGCATATTATTGAGTTTCTAAGGATTTAACCAGTAAACTGATGGACTGTAGAAACTCAATCCTAACTTTTGAGCTTTTAAATATGTTTGGCACAAAAAGTACAATAAAGAAAAACAAACAAACTGTTCCATTTAACTGATCATCTTTTCAGTTAAAAATATTTAAATTTAAAGGTCTGATTATTGAAACATTTCATTGTGAAATTCATTGACACCATTTGTCGTCTTAATGCAGCTAAAGTGACGGACGTTTCCCACTGATACCAGCTGATTTATATTAAATCTGCTCAGCTGTATGTTGAATATATGAATTTATATTTATTGTTTGTGATACAATCCAGTGAACTTTGTGTATTTAAATTAATATTAACCGTAGAAACAGAAATAACAGTTTTTACTTTAATTCTATTTTATACGTACGTAACAAATTGGAAAATGTACTTTAATCATTCAGGCATGTTTTCCACTATGAATTATGAAGTTGGTTCATTGAAGGGTTTTTCTTTACAGTTCTAAAAATTAAGAGACCTCTGTCTTGATGGCCATTGAAAACCTCATGGTAAAACATTAGTATTGATGTTTCTAAATTAATATCAATTTGTTTTCTTTCCATTACTTCAGATCTAAAGTCTTTGCATCTTTTTCTGATTTTTATAATTTTATTCTGCAAATAAATACTAAATTTTGTTTCTAATTTCAGAGACATGTTGTTAGTAGTTCAAAGGATAAAAGAACAATTTACTCAAATTTATACCACAAAGAGTAAAATAAGAGAACTGATCATTTGCAGTGGTCTCCTATGTGTTTCCAGAGCTGATTATATTTATCAGACTGAAACCTGCATGTCATTAAAGTTCAAAGTTCAATAATGATGATTGGATCCACAGATATTACTGCCACCAACACTGAGAAGGAATTGAATCAAAAGGAAACAGTCTTGTGTGGCAATGTTTCAACATTTCTGCAATAAAGTTATCATATATTGATAAGGATTATGTCTCCAAACAGGTTATGTTTTTACTTCTTTGCTCATGTCTCTCCCTAAATAGGTGTTAAAAATGTCTATATTTTTGTGGTGGATCGTTCCCTGATTATAATAAAAACCTTTATGAGGAATAAACCAAAATGAGTGACCGTCGCTATCAGTAACAACATAATTAATAAATATAATTTCTAGCTGTGCTTTGCAGGTTGAACCTGTTCATTTAGAGTTTGTTGTGTTCAGAGTCAGAGAGCCGTGTCTCTGCAGTCAGAGGTTTTTGTACGACGACTCAACCAGTTTGTATCACTGTGGTACACGTTTGGTGGAGGAACCAGGCTGGAGTTTGGAAGTAAGTTGAATATTTCACATATTTCATTACAATATGAGGAGAACATTGTTGTTAGGTTGATAAACAAACTAATATAATTGGAAACGTCCATAATTTAGGTTTATATTAATTTGCTTCAGTCAGAGATGAAAACTTCATGTTGTGCCATTAAATAAAATCATCGAGAGAGAAATAATTATTATTTTCTCACTGGTAGAAAGTTTTGTATTTATTATATGAAGAGAAAATATGACTTCAGTCTCATTGAATGTTTTCAGTCAGAATCAGTTTGTTGTGTTCAGAGTCAGAGAGCCGAGTCTCTGCAGTCAGAGGTTTTTGTACGACGACTCAATTAGTTTGTATCACTGTGGTGGACTTTTGGTGGAGGAACCAGGCTGGATGTTGGACGTAAGTTTCTGAATATTTAACATTTATTGTGAGATAAATTATGAGAATGATCATAAGAGGATCATGAAAAGGGTGAATGGAGCGATTAATTTTTTCAACATTTCTAAGGATTTGTGGACTTCACATTTCTGTCTCACTAATTAAATGCAATGAAACGTTTAAATAATGCTGAACATGTTTTTCAAACTGGTTTTTTTGTTGTTAAATGCTTTAAACAAAAAAAAAATAGGATTAAGATCATATACGTTAAAAAAATTAATTACATATCAAAATATTTGTTGATGATATTTATATTGCAGTTTTAAAATTGCTGAAATTCAAATTTTCCTCATCATTTTGCCCAACAGCTGGTCTACTGTAAGTGTTAATATGATGAAAAGTTTCATGTCTATTTTTACTTAAAAAATGAAGTATTGTCTACCAAGATGAACATCAGAAAGTTTTATTTTGGTTTAAAAATGATCCTGCTTAAGATTTAATGTGATGTTTTATGAAAGGGAGGGAAAGTAGAGCTCAGTTTATGTTTAATCTCATTTTCTAGTTTAGTGTATTTCAGGTTACATGAGGACTATGTGCTGATATGCAGGAGTTCACAGTGAAGGGAAGTGAAACAGAGTGTGAGGGAGAAACTGGTGGAGCAGAAAAATGTTCAACTGAAGAATCTTAAAGAAAGTCATTTCTCCCACAGTAAAGATGTTCCAGTTTCTGCTGTCTGGTTAGCAGGTGTGCGGTTCCTGTTCTCTAACCTGATTGGTGTTTCCTAGGTGATACCCGCCCCACCCTGACAGTGCTGCCCCCCTCCAGTGTGGAGCTGCAGCAGCAGCAGCAGGTTACCCTCCTGTGTCTGGCCAACAAGGGCTTCCCCTCAGACTGGACTCTGTCCTGGAAGCTGGACGGCAGCAGCAGCAGCAGCTGGGAGCAGAGCAGGAGCCCCGGGTGCTGCAGAATGACGGCCTCTACAGCTGGAGCAGCACCCTGAGGATCCCTGCAGACCAGTGGAGGAAGGTGGGCTCTGTGACCTGTGAGGCCTCCCAGAGCTCCCAGCCTGCAGTCACAGAGACACTGAGGAGAGACCAGTGCTCCCAGTCCTGAGCTGATTCTGATACTGGCTTTAATCTGTCACTGCTCTCACTCTATCTCTTCTGATTATTCTGAATTTTCTCTGAGTCGTGTTTGCTTTGTCATGTTTGTCACTGTTCAGATAATAAATATTTACTCATCAACTTCTGGTGTGTAGCTGCTTTTTTATTCAGCTTTAAATCTGTTTATTTGGTCTCAGTGTTTTTTTGTTGACTTTTGTTGTTTTTAGACATTATGCATCCAGACTAGGATTAAACAGCCTGAAAATAAAATTATTGTGAATTTAAAATTAGATTTTTGAAATACATGTTTGGAGTTTAAAAAAAATGAAAAATGTTGATATATTACCATCAACAATAAATCATAGATCTATAAAATCAGATAATTATAAGAACCTAGAATAAAATGATCTGAAAAATATTATACACATTTTTTTTAAATTCTGTATGGATTTTTGGTTACATATTTTGACCATATAGCTATGGTGGGTGGTTCTTATCCTCTGAGCTCGGGTCCTCTACCAGAGGCCTGGGAGCTTGAGGGTCCTGCGCAGTATCTTGGCTGTGCCAAGGACTGCACATTTCTGGACTGAGATATCTGATGTTGTTCCTGGGATCTGTTGTAGCCACTGCTCCAGTTTGGGGGTTACTGCCCCGAGGTCCCCGATGACACAGGCACCACTGTGGTCTTCACCTTCCAGGCCCTCTCCAGTTCCTCCCTGAGGCCCTGGTATTTCTCCAGTATTATTTTTATTTATTATTTTGACTTAGATTACAAAACATTAAAAGTGATAAAGCTACATACTAGAAAAAAAACATGAGACTAAATGAATGAATAAATGTAAACATTATCAAATGAATAAATACTTTTCTGGAAACTTCATTGTTTTAGTTTCAGTGCAGCTGTTGAGTCGGATCAGTTCCTCTCCAGCTGAAGGAGGTTTTTGTACGATGTTCTATCACTGTGTGAACGAGCTCCTACCCTGCTGACAGTAATAAACTCCTGAATCTTCAGCCTGAACTCCACTGATGGTCAGAGTGAAATCAGAACCAGATCCACTTCCACTGAACCGAGCTGGAACTCCAGACTGAAGAGCTGTAGCCTGATAGACCAGGAGTTTAGGAGCTTCTGCAGGTTTCTGAAGGTACCAGGCAATCCAGCTACCAACACTTGAACTGGTTTTACATTTTAGTGACACACTTTGTCCTACAGCAAAAGACTGAGATCCAGGAGTCTGAGTCACTATTATTTCTCCTGATGAACCTGGAAAATACAAAAAGGAATATTTTTGCAACAGAGAGAAAAGAATTAGGATCTGAACTGAAGGTCATCAGCATGTAGAAAATAACTAAGAAAGTCTCTTGTGTTTGGGTGACCCAATATAATAGAGCACGACTGTAAAAACCAAGTTTCTCTCAGAGTCTCACCCTGAACCAGGAGCCCCAGGATGGTCAGCAGTGGAGTCAGTGACATCATCATTGTGCTGCTGGTGTGTCAGTGGCTCTGAAAGGCCTGGACAGCCACTGATCAACTCTGACCTCTTAACAGCTGGAGCAGAGAGGCAGGACACATATGCAAACACACAGAGTCAGTCAGCTGGAGATGAACCGGCAGCAGGTTTCCTCTAGAAGCATCAAAAAAATAAGAAAGACTAAGAGAGGAATTTTAATAGGGCTCTTTATAATCTTTAACCAATTAACACTGAACGAATTTTCTATACGTCAGAATTTTTTATGTCTTTGTGAATTTTATGATGTGAATAAGCAAAACAACCCTTTCACTGAAACATCTTGTTTCTTCTATTCAAACTATTTCTCAAGGGTTTGTGTTTTCCACTTTTCAAACTTTTATTCATGACTTGATTTATGCAAAAGAAACAATTATAATAAGCTGGGATATTTTTAAAACTATTCAATTGGCAAAGAATCCAATTTTTTTTTTCCTTTTTTGTTCTTGCTGACAGACCTCACTAATGTCAGATTATTGTTGTCATTTGATAATACAGAGAAAATGTTTTCATATTTTACTTTCATCTGTATGTGACAACAGTTTATGTTTCTATTAATTCACAGAAAGAGACTTGAAACAACTTCTCAGCTTTTTGTATTTCTGTCTGTAGAAAATATCTGCTAGTTCCTTTAAAACAAATACTGGTATTCAAAAATTGTTGGTTCTAGTCATCTGGCAGGAGTAAGGTCCAGGTTCAGAAAATAAATTCAGGATAAATCATTAATATTGATGAAGAAATGAATTATTTTCCAACAGTAATGGCAGATTTAGCAAATCATTTTAAACAAGGCTAATTTAAAAATAAAGATCCTCCTGAATTGTTTTCCTTTCCTCCCTACTGTGCTTATGAGAATAAATCTCGAAAGGTGTTTAACAATATTTACAAAAGTTTTGGTGTTTTTGCAAATGGTTTTATTTGATTTCATCTCAGCTTGTTTAAAAATAAAACATTGAAAATATTTTTGAAACCTTTCTAAACTCAAAGTTAATTCAGCCTTCTTAAATGGAGAATAAAAGTAAAACATCTAAAATATTCATAAAATATTTTTAAATATAACTGAATATAATCCCTGATGTGTGTTCAGTGAACTGTATCAGTATCTCCAACAGATTCCAGCTGCAGAGTTCAGTTTCTTTTCAGAGTGAAGGAGGTTTTTGTACGATGATTTTTCACTGTGTGAACACCCACTGACTGTTGATGGTGTGACGACTCATACAGTAATAAACTCCTGCATCTTCAGCCTGAACTCCACTGATGGTCAGAGTGAAGTCTAATCCATTTCCTGCTCCACTTCCACTGAATCTGGAGGAGATTCCTGAAAATCTGGCTGATGTTACATAGATCAGAGCTTTAGGAGCTTCTCCAGGTTTGTGATGGTACCAGGATAGGTAGTACTGTGAACCAAAAAATTGAGCTACTTGTCTACTGGCCTTACAGTCAATAGTGACCGTCTGACCGAGCTGCACTGATTTGGCTGCTGATTGAGTCACAACAACATTTTGTCCATCAGATCCTGAGGAGAGAGAAGAAACTCTGGACATGAGATGGTGAAACTCAGCTACACTCCAAATGATTTTCACATGACAGAAAAATGATTTTCCTCACCCTGAGTGAAGCAGAGGAGAGTCCAGATGAGGACGCAGATCAAAGTCATGTTTTAGATGAGGAGGATTTCTGTGTCTTCGTTGTGATGAAGGACAGCTGTCAGTCATCCAGTGTTCAACTGTCAGGACTATAAACTCTCCCAGAGCGCTGGAGCATGGAGCTGCTGATGCAAATCACTTTATTTAACATTTGAATAAAATCACTTAGAATGTGTTTTATATACTTGTTCTTTTTATATAAAATGTTTCTCTGCATGCATATATTTGGGTTATTTCTGGTCTCACAATTGATTTTTTTAATCCATACATATTTTTATATTTGTTGATCTAATTGTGTAAAGTGTTTTATTTGTATTATTGCTGTCTTTTTAAAAAAAACATTTTTTATTATTTTGTCTTCTCAAAGAAGATCTGTCTTTTAAATGACATATTTTACCTCAACAAGACAATCTGTATAAATGACCAGAATAAAACAAAAAAATATTTATAACAGAAGAGATATATTCTTAGTTTAATATCTTTAAAAATAATAATTCAATTAGTTTTTATCCTGAATCAAACATTTAAATTTCATGGAATATTCTTGAGTTTCTCAGCTTCTATGGTAAAATGACTAAATTCAAATCACTGGTCAAAATCCTAACGTTTAACATTTTAAATATGATTGGCACAAAAACAGCACAAATAAAAACAAACTCTAAACCTGTTGAATTAAATTGATTACTATTTCTGTTACAACAGTTCTAGCTGTTTACTTTTTTTAGACAATAGCTTTGAAATTGCCTCCAAAAATTTGTTGTGTTAATGCAGCCAAAGTTATGATATCAGATGATTTATATCCACACAGAAAATATCATGAAATATCTGGTGGTCTCAGTTATGTCCACCTAATATCAAATGAGCTCATAATTATTTTGAATCCCTGAATTTATATCTATTAAATGTGTTAAATTCCAACAGACAAAATGTCGTTAAGAAATCACACTTCTTCTCTTTACCCAAGTTTCCACAATGATTTTGTGTTTAATCTTATTCCAAAAAACCTTCACTTCATTATTCACTCTGTGTATCACAGAGACGTTGATGTAACATTAATCCCATTACTCCTTTATTTATAAAATAGTGATTTAATTCTGTATCAAGTTCTCTGGTATTTAGATGACACTAAGGAAAATATTCTAGTCATTTTAAAACTGAAGTTTATGATTTGTTACACCATGTCATACATGGCAGCTTTTATAATCAGAGTTAAAATATTCAAATTGAGAATAAATATCTGAAAACAAAACATCTATAGTGAGTTGTGTCTGTAAATAACTTTGCATCTTCAGATTGTTTTATGATTTAAACACACTTCCACTCAAAGTTCAGCATGTTGTTTGTAAGGTTGAGTTTTTGCTTCCAGTTGAAACTGGTGTCTTCATGTTGTTGACATGTGAGGCCCGACTGAACATATCAGAGCATCTAGCAGCTCAGCTGCACTCAGGTCGGTTTCTGCTCAGGAGGTTTTTGTATGAGGCTTTTTCACTGTGTGAACAGATTCTGACTGTTGACTGTGCCAGCACCCTGACAGTAATAAACTCCAGCATCTTCAGCCTGGACTCCACTGATGGTCAGAGTGAAGGCAGAACCAGATCCAGAGCCTGAAAACCGACCCGGAATCCCTGACATGCGTTGATTGGTGGAGTGGATCAGAAGTTTAGGAGTTCCTCCATCTTTTTGTTGGTACCAACCTAAACAATAAGCACTGCTACAGCCCCAAAACTGGTGACTGGTTGTACAGCTGATGGTGACCGATCCTCCAATATCAGCTCTCACTGCTGCAGGCTGAGTCACTGTGACCTGACCTCTGACCTCTGAGGACACAGAGATAAAACATGCAGCAGCTTCATGGTTTAGTCGGCTTCATTTCAGAGGGACAGATGTTCATAGAGGAGTTGGATTCTCTGGACTTTACCTGTGAAGCAGCAGCAGAGGAGAGTCCAGATGAGGACGCAGATCAAAGTCATGTTTTAGATGAGGAGGATTTCTGTGTCTTCAGTTGTGATGAAGGACAGCTGTCAGTCATCCAGTGTTCAACTGTCAGGACTATAAACTCTCCCAGAGCGCTGGAGCATGGAGCTGCTGATGCAAAGTGACTCTATGGAAATGCTCTGAATGACTTCAACAGGCCAGGAACAATATGATGATGAAGTTTTATTATGAATCAACATTTGCTACATAAATTGTAAAAAATTATTTTTTGTGTCAAATATGTTTTTTGATGTTTTTTCTTCAACATTTTTTGTTGTGTTGAAATTTTTACTCATACAGAGAAAACTTCCTAAAATATTTGTAATCAGGGTGGTGTCAGAGGAATAAATGTTAATTTAATAAATATTATATTATTGATCTGAAAATGCAAAACTTAAACAATGTCTACGCATGTTATGTAATTTTTATAGGACTTTTTTTTTTATCTCCAATGTCCCAAAAGCTTTGAAAGATGAGCAAATGTGTTTTGAATTTTTGGACTTTACAAAAACCTTAAGTCAACTATAGATTTTTATAATTTCTCAGATAGAAAAATGTATACTAATTCAAAAATAAAGTCTAAAACTCTTAGATTGAAATGATCACTTTAACAGTAGAAAAAGTTAATTAAAAGTTTATTATATCTCCTTAGACAGTTACTGTGAAATCACTTGTGACAGTTTCTGATTTTAATGCAGCCAGTGTGATGGATGTGTCCCACTAGCAGATTTATATTCCACTTTTTCCCAAGATCATATTAAAAGATCGTTTCTTTCCATCCTGTGGTCTTAGTGCTGTCAGTTAGATCTGATTCTGCTATTTTTTTTTGAGTCCTAACTCTTGAGATATTGATAGTTGTAATGCTCACTTCCTATTTCTACAGATTGTTTGCTATTATTATTCAGTCATGAGGCCAAGATTCAAATAAAAATATGTACTATTATAGTAGCTTTGACATTTTTGTTTATATGAATTTGAAAAGTGAGGTAGAGTTTAAATAATTCAGTCTCACTTTTAAACATCTTGTCAATTGAAGAAAATTAAATATTTCAAAAATAATATTTTTTCTAAATTAATTCTAATATATCACTCATCCTAACTCTGATTCAATCAGTAACTCTAAAGAAACCTAGTAATAACAGCACTTTGCAAATTATATTAAGAAATCTATGAAAGTAATTTCTTCATAATTAATTTATAGTTTAGCATTTGTGGAAACTTCAGTGTTTTGTTTTCAGTGCAGCTGTTGAGTCGGATCAGTTCCTCTCCAGCTGAAGGAGGTTTTTGTACGACGTTCTATCACTGTGTGAACGGTATGTTATAACCCTGCTGACAGTAATAAACTCCTGAATCTTCAGCCTGAACTCCACTGATGGTCAGAGTGTAGTCAGAACCAGATCCACTTCCACTGAACCGAGCTGGAACTCCAGACTGAAGAGTTGTAGCATAATAAATCAGGAGTTTAGGAGCTTCTGCAGGTTTCTGAAGGTACCAGTGGAGATTGCCATAAACACTTGAACTGGTTTTACATTTGATGGTGACAGTTTGTCCTGCAGCAACAGACTGAGATCCAGGAGTCTGAGTCAGGATGATGTCTCCTGATGAACCTGGAAAACATCAAAAATATCAATTGAGAGAAACTATGTTTGATTAACAATGATTGATAATCTCTGAATAGATCAAATAAAACTTTAACATCTTGTTTCAATATTTCTCTCTGATAGCAGAATTTTAATTATCATATCTTCTTCAAACCAAGTTTCTCTCAGAGTCTCACCCTGAACCAGGAGCCCCAGGATGGTCAGCAGTGGAGTCAGTGACATCATCATTGTGCTGCTGGTGAGTCAGTGGCTCTGAAAGGCCTGGACAGCCACTGATCAACTCTGACCTCTTAACAGCTGGAGCAGAGAGGCAGGACACATATGCAAACACACAGAGTCAGTCAGCTGGAAATGAACCGGCAGCAGGTTTCCTCCTCACTGCTGCAACATTGCTGATAATGTCAATAAATATAGAAAAGTGTCTCTTTATGGTGTTATTATACTCTGATTATGGTCATAAAATGACAGGTTTGTTCAGGTTACAGTAATTTTAGTATCATTTAAAGCATAGGTGTCAAACTCTGGCCCGCGGGCCAAATTTGGCTAGCAGTGTAATTATATTTGGCCCGCGAGGCAATTTCAAATTAATATTAGACATTTACGTCAGAAAGGAGGCATTAAATGTTTATTTAAATTTTATTTAATATATTTAATATTTCATTTCATATATTAAATATGTTTTATTTAATATAATAATATGTTTTATTATTATTAGCAACTCAATTTTGCACACCTGCACTTTTAAGTTAGATAAGCTTTGCTTGTTCAATATTTATTGTTATATTAGAACTTGTTTAGGTCCAAATTAAAAGATTCATTTGTTCAACCTTGGCCCGCGACTTTGTTCAATTTAAAGTTTTGGCCCACTATGTATTTGAGTTTGACACCCCTGATTTAAAGAGTAACAATATATTTTAAAAATATTCTATTGTGTTATTAATCCTGAAATCTACTCAATAAAATGTGTAACTGAAAATGTTTATCATCTCTTTTGCCACTTTTCTAATCCTTAAATACCAGAACAGTTTTAATTTCTGAGATATGAATAATTTAAGTGATTCCATTTGACTGAAGAAAAAAATATATATATTCTGTCTGGTCGTTTATAGAATGTGCTCTGCTTCATGTCATGATTGGAAATTATTCATCAAAACTTTATCTGTCAGAAGAGGAATACCAAGAATTGACCTGGATACTGGTTGTTTTCTTCTGTTTATTATATTTTAAATTATTAATATGTGTGTTCAGTGTGTTTGTGTTTAATGAACTGTATCAGTTTCAGCAGCAGATTCCAGGTGCAGAACAAAGTTCAGTTTCTGTTGTAAGACTGAGGGAGGTTTTTGTACGGTGATTTTTCACTGTGTGAACATCCACTGACTGTTGATGGAGTGATAACTCATACAGTAATAAACTCCTGCATCTTCAGCCTGAACTCCACTGATGGTCAGAGTGAAGTCTAATCCATTTCCTTTTCCACTTCCACTGAATCTGGAGGAGATTCCTGAAAATCTGTCTGATGTCCAGTAGATCAGAGCTTTAGGAGCTTCTCCAGGTTTCTGATGGTACCAGGACAGGCAGACCTGTGAGTTGTAGCTACAGTGAGATGTTGAAAGTGCCTGACTGGCCTTACAGTCAATAGTGACCGTCTGACTGAGCTGCACTGATTCGGCTGCTGATTGAGTCACAACAACATTTTGTCCATCAGATCCTGAGGAGAGAGAAGAAACTCTGGACATGAGATGGTGAAACTCAGCTACACTCCAAATGATTTTCACATGACAGAAAAATGATTTTCCTCACCCTGAGTGAAGCAGAGGAGAGTCCAGATGAGGACGCAGATCAAAGTCATGTTTTAGATGAGGAGGATTTCTGTGTCTTCGTTGTGATGAAGGACAGCTGTCAGTCATCCAGTGTTCAACTGTCAGGACTATAAACTCTCCCAGAGCGCTGGAGCATGGAGCTGCTGATGCAAATCACTTTATTTAAGATTTGAATGGAATCCTTTAGATTGAGTTTTATAATTATTTTATAATGAACCTTTTGCTTTACAAATATGTCGTTGCAATTATAGATTTGGATTAATTCTGGTCTCACAAGTACATTTTTCAAATTCAGACATGTTTTTATCAGCTGATTTAATTCAGTCAAATGTTTTAATTACTTGTATTGTTGATGGATTTGTAAATTGATTTTCTGTTTTGTCATTTCAAACCTGGTCTATACTGTTAATGAGATCTTAGATCTCAAAATGAATAATCTCTATTAAAACACATGTATTATATAGAATAAAATGAACTTTAGAAAGCAAAAAAGATTAAATTTATTCTCGGCTCAATTTATTATAAATCATTTTTAAATGGGTTTTGAATGTTTTGTCAAATGTTTGAATTTTAAGCTGTATATTATTGAGTTTCTTAGGATTTAACCAGTAAAATTACTAATTTTCAATCATACTGGTGGACTGTAGAAACTCAATCCTAACTTTTGAGCTTTTAAAAATGATTGTCACAAAAAGTACAATAAATAAAAACAAACTAAAACTGTTTGATTTAACTGATCATCTTTTCGGTTAAAAATATTATAATTTAAATGTCTGATTATTTAAACATTTCATTGTGAAATTTATTGACAACATTAGTCGTCTTAATGCAGCCAAAGTGACGGACGTTTCCCACTGATACCAGCTGATTTTATATTCCACACATAGAAAATATCATAATGGAAGATTTTGTTCTCAGTCATTCTCAGTTAGGCCCAAATCTGCTCAGCTGTATGTTGAATATACGATTTTATATATATTGTTTGTGATACAATCCAGTGAACTTTGTGTCTTTAAATTAATATTAACCTGTAGAAACAGAAATAACAATTTTTACTTTAATTCTATTTATCCGGAAGTAAAAGATTGGAAAATATACTTTAATCATTCAGGCATGTTTTCTACTATGAATTATGAAGTTATTTCATTGAAGGGTTTTTGTGTACAGTTCTAAAAATTAAGAGACCTCTGTCTTGATCCCCATTGAAAACCTCATGGTAAAACATTAGTATTGTTGTTTCTAAATTAATATGAATTTGTTTTCTTTCCATTACTTGAGATCTAAAGCCTTTGCATCATTTCCTGATTTTTATGATTTTATTCTGCAAATAAATACTAAATTTTTGTTTCTAATTTCAGAGACATGTTGTTAGTAGTTCAAAGGATAAAAGAACAATTTACTCACATTTATACCACAAAGAGTAAAATAAGAGAACTGATCATTTGCAGTGGTCTCCTATTTTGTTTCCAGAGCTGATTATATTTATCAGACTGAAACCTGCATAACATTAAAGTTCAAAGTTCAAAATTGATGCTTGGATCCACAGATATTACTGCCACCAACACTGAGAAGGAATTGAATCAAAAGGAAACAGTCTTGTGTGGCAATGTTTCAACATTTCTGCTATAAAGTTATCATATATTGATAAGGATTATGTCTCCAACAGGTTATGTTTTTACTTCTTTGCTCATGTCTCTCCCTAAATAAGTGTTAAAAATGTCTATATTTCTGTGGTGGAACATTCCCTGATTATAATAAAAACGTTTATGAGGAATAAACCAAAATGAGTGACCATCGATATCAGAAACAATATAATGAATAAATATAATTTCTAGCTGTGTTTTGCAGGTTGAAACTGTTCATTTAGAGTTTGTTGTGTTCAGAGTCAGAGAGCCGTGTCTCTGCAGTCAGAGGTTTTTGTACGACGACTCAACCAGTTTGTATCACTGTGGTACACGTTTGGTGGAGGAACCAGGCTGGATGTTGGAAGTAAGTTCAATATTTCACATATTTCATTACAATATGAGCAGAACATCGTTGTTAGGTTGATAAACAAACTAATATAATTGGAAACGTCCATAATTTAGGTTTATATTAATTTGCTTCAGTCAGAGATGAAAACTTCATGTTGTGCCATTAAATAGAAACATCAAGAGAGAATAATTATTATTTTCTCACTGGTAGAAAGTTTTGTATTTATTGTATGAAGGGAAAATATGACTTCAGTCTCATTGAATGTTTTCAGTCAGAATCAGTTTGTTGTGTTCAGAGTCAGAGAGCCGAGTCTGCAGTCAGAGGTTTTTGTACGACGACTCAATTAGTTTGTATCACTGTGGTGGACTTTTGGTGGAGGAACCAGGCTGGATGTTGGACGTAAGTTTCTGAATATTTAACATTTATTGTGAGATAAATATGAAAAAGATCATAAGATATCATGGAAGATGTTTGGAGAAATTTATTTTTTCAACATTTCTAAGGAATTGTGGACTTCACATTTCTGTCTCACTAATTAAATGTAATGAAACATTTAAATAATGCTGAACATGTTATTTTTCAAACTGGATTTTAATCTTGTTAAATGCTTTAAACAACAAAAAAAATAGGATTAAGATCATTTACGTTAAAATAATAAATTACACATCAAAATATTTGTTGATAATATTTATATTGCAGTTTCAAAATTGCTTTAAAAGAATATATATATATATATATATATATATATATATATATATATATATATATATATATATATATATAAATATATATATATATATATATATATATATATATATATATATATATATATATTGTTTTTCAAATTTTCCTCGTCATTTTTGCCCTACAGCTGGTCTACTGTAAGTGTTAATATGATGAAAAGTTTCATGTCTATTTTTCACTTAAAAAATGAAGTATTGTCTACCAAGATGAACATCAGAAAGGTTTTATTTTGGTTTTAAAAATGATCCTGTTTAAGATTTAATGTGATGTTTTATGAAAGGGAGGGAAAGTAGAGCTCAGTTTATGTTTAATCTTATTTTCTAGTTTAGTGTATTTCAGGTTACATGAGGACTATGTGCTGATATGCAGGAGTTCACAGTGAAGGGAAGTGAAACAGAGTGTGAGGGAGAAACTGGTGGAGCAGAAAAATGTTCAACTGAAGAATCTTAAAGAAAGTCATTTCCCACAGTAAAGATGTTCCAGTTTCTGCTGTCTGGTTAGCAGGTGTGCGGTTCCTGTTCTCTAACCTGATTGGTGTTTCCCAGGTGATACCCGCCCCACCCTGACAGTGCTGCCCCCCTCCAGTGTGGAGCTGCAGCAGCAGCAGGTTACCCTCCTGTGTCTGGCCAACAAGGGCTTCCCCTCAGACTGGACTCTGTCCTGGAAGCTGGACGGCAGCAGCAGCAGCAGCTGGGAGCAGAGCAGGAGCCCCGGGGTGCTGCAGAATGACGGCCTCTACAGCTGGAGCAGCACCCTGAGGATCCCTGCAGACCAGTGGAGGAAGGTGGGCTCTGTGACCTGTGAGGCCTCCCAGAGCTCCCAGCCTGCAGTCACAGAGACACTGAGGAGAGACCAGTGTTCCCAGTCCTGAGCTGATTCTGATACTGGCTTTAATCTGTCACTGCTCTCACTCTTTCTCTGCTGATTATTCTCTATTTTCACTGAGTCATGTTTGCTTTGTCATGTTTGTCACTGTTCAGATAATAAATATTTACTCATCAACTTCTGGTGTGTAGCTGCTTTTTTATTCAGCTTTAAATATTTTAGTTATGTTCTACTGTTTTACTTATTTATGTTTTGCTTTTAATCTCTTGAGGCATCGTGTCTATTTATTACAAGAATAGAATCGAATGTCCGGTAAATTATTATTAAATTTAAAAACATATTTGGAATACAGTTTTAAAGCTAGGGAAAAATATTTAGGAACTACCACCATTAAAAGTAAGAACCTTCTCAAAAATGGCTACTTGGACAAAAATGATTTGAAAAAATATTTCTATAAACTGTTGAAATTCCTAGTACATTTTTGTTTCTTTAATATTCCTAACCAAATGGGAAATAATTATTTTTCTTATTATTTTTTGTGTCAGATCCAAATTGACGTCAAAAATAAAAAATCTATATTAGTGGAAAAAGCTTGAATGAATAAATAACCTTAAAAACTAGAAAATTAAGAAACAAAATAAATGATTTGTGGAAACTTTCAGTGTTTTAGTTTCAGTGCAGCTGTTGAGTCGGATCAGTTCCTCTCCAGCTGAAGGTTTTTGTACGACGTTCTATCACTGTGTGAGTGGAAACATGCTACCCTGCTGACAGTAATAAACTCCTGAATCTTCAGCCTGAACTCCACTGATGGTCAGAGTGAAGTCAGAACCAGATCCACTTCCACTGAACCGAGCTGGAACTCCAGACTGACGAGATGTAGCTCCAGAAATCAGGAGTTTAGGAGCTTCTGCAGGTTTCTGAAGGTACCAGTGGAGATTGCCATAAACACTTGAACTGGTTTTACATTTGATGGTGACAGTTTGTCCTGCAGCAACAGACTGAGATCCAGGAGTCTGAGTCAGGATGATGTCTCCTGATGAACCTGGAAAACATCAAAAAATATCAATTGAGAGAAACTATGTTTGATTAACAATGATTGATAATCTCTGAGTAGATAAAATAAAACTTTAAATCTTGTTTCAATATTTATCCCTGATAGCAGAATTTTAATTATCATATCGTCTTCAAACCAAGTTTCTCTCAGAGTCTCACCCTGAACCAGGAGCCCCAGGATGGTCAGCAGTGGAGTCAGTGACATCATCATTGTGCTGCTGGTGTGTCAGTGGCTCTGAAAGGCCTGGACAGCCACTGATCAACTCTGACCTCTTAACAGCTGGAGCAGAGAGGCAGGACACATATGCAAACACACACACTCAGTCAGCTGGAGATGAACCGGCAGCAGGTTTCCTCCTCACTGCTGCAACACTGCTGATAATGTCAAGAAATATCTAAATGTATTTCTCTTTGTGGTGTTATAATACCACATTATCATTTTCTTCTCTACATGTCATTAAAAATGATGTGCCAGTTTGTTAACTTTGTAATTCTTAGTGTCATTTCAAAAGTATAACTATTGATTTAAAAAAAAATCTACTTTGTAATTTATCTACTGATCAACTTGATCAAGTTTCTGACTGAAAACATTTATTTTGTATGTAAGTATTTTTTTTATCGTTTGAACCAGAATCTTTCTAATTTCTGTGATCTGACTGCTTGATATGATTAATTTTTGCATGATTTGGCAAAAAACAGGAAAAATCAGCATATCTGTGCTGAATATGCTTTGCTTAATCTCAGACCAAGAATTAAAAAGTGACTAAAAATTGTTCTTTATATGTTTTTAAAGTTTCAGAGGATGGTAGCAGAAAATGTATGTTGTTACTGATTGTGTTCTTGTGCTTATAGTTATATATCGTGGACCTGTGTTCAGTGAACTGTCGGCTTCTGCAGCAGCTTCCATCTTTATCGTTCAGTTTCTGTTCAGTCAGACTGAGGGAGGTTTTTTGTACGGTGATTTTTCACTGTGTGAACACCCACTGACTGTTGATGGAGTGATCACTCATACAGTAATAAACTCCTGCATCTTCAGCCTGAACTCCACTGATGGTCAGAGTGAAGTCTAATCCATTTCCTGCTCCACTTCCACTGAATCTGGAGGAGATTCCTGAAAATCTGGTTGACATTCCATATATAAGAGCTTTAGGAGCTTCTCCAGGTTTCTGATGGTACCAGGATAGGCAGACCTGTGAATTGATGTTGCAATAGATTTTTGAAAGTGCCTGACTGGCCTTACACTCAGTAGTGACCGTCTGACTGAGCTACACTGATTTGGCTGCTGATTGAGTCACAACAATATTTTGTCCATCAGATCCTGAGGAGAGAGAAGAAACTCTGGACATGAGATGGTGAAACTCAGCTACACTCCAAATGATTTTCACATGACAGAAAAATGATTTTCCTCACCCTGAGTGAAGCAGAGGAGAGTCCAGATGAGGACGCAGATCAAAGTCATGTTTTAGATGAGGAGGATTTCTGTGTCTTCGTTGTGATGAAGGACAGCTGTCAGTCATCCAGTGTTCAACTGTCAGGACTATAAACTCTCCCAGAGCGCTGGAGCATGGAGCTGCTGATGCAAATCACTTTATTTAAGATTTGAATGGAATCCTTTAGATTGAGTTTTATAATTATTTTATAATGAACCTTTTGCTTTACAAATATGTCGTTGCAATTATAGATTTGGATTCATTCTGGTCTCACAAGAACATTTTTCAAATTCAGACATGTTTTTATCAGCTGATTTAATTCAGTCAAATGTTTTAGTTACTTGTATTGTTGATGGGTTTGTAAATTATTTATCCTGTTTTGTCATTTTATAAGTGGTCTATTCTATTACTGAGATCTTAGATCTAAGAAGGAATAATCTCTATTAAAACACATGTATTATAAAGAATAAAATTAACTTTAGAAAGACAAAAAGATTAAATTTATTCTCGGCTTAATTTATTATATATAATTTTTAATTGGGTTTTGAATCTTTTGTCAAATGTTTGAACTTTAAGCTGTATATTATTGAGTTTCTTAGGATTTAACCAGTAAAATGACTAATTTTCAATCATACTGGTGGACTGTAGAAACTCAATCCTAACTTTTGAGCTTTTGAAAATGATTGTCACAAAAAGTACAATAAATAAAAACAAACTAAAACTGTTCGATTTAACTGATCATCTTTTCGGTAAAAAATATTTAAATTTAAATGTCTGATTATTTAAACATTTCATTGTGAAATTTATTGACAACATTAGTCGTCTTAATGCAGCCAAAGTGACGGACGTTTCCCACTGATACCAGCTGATTTATATTCCACACATAGAAAATATCATAATGGAAGATTTTGTTCTCAGTTATTCTCAGTTAGGCCCAAATCTGCTCAGCTGTATGTTGAATATATGAATTTATATTTATAGTTTGTGATACAATCCAGTGAACTTTGTGTATTTAAATTAATATTAACCTGTAGAAACAGAAATAACAGTTTTTACTTTACTTCTATTTATCCAGAAGTAACAGATTGAAAAATATACTTTAATCATTCAGGCATGTTTTCCACTATGAATTATGAAGTTGGTTCATTGAAGGGTTTTTGTGTACAGTTCTAAAAATTAAGAGACCTCTGTCTTGATGGCCATTGAAAACCTCATGGTAAAACACTAGTATTGATGTTTCTAAATTAATATCAATTTGTTTTCTTTCCATTACTTGAGATCTAAAGCCTTTGCATCTTTTTCTGATTTTTTTAATTTGACTGCAGTCAGAGGTTTTGTACGACGACTCAATTAGTTTGTATCACTGTGGTGGACTTTTGGTGGAGGAACCAGGCTGGATGTTGGACGTAAGTTTCTGAATATTTAACATTTATTGTGAGATAAATTATGAGAATGATCATAAGAGGATCATGAAAAGGGTGAATGGAGTAATTTATTTTTTCAACATTTCTAAGGAATTGTGGACTTCACATTTCTGTCTCACTAATTAAATGTAATGAAACATTTAAATAATGCTGAACATGTTATTTTCAAACTGGATTTTAATCTTGTTAAATGCTTTAAACAACAAAAAAAAATAGGATTAAGATCATTTACGTTAAAATAATAAATTACACATCAAAATATTGGTTGATAATATTTATATTGAAGTTTCAAAATTGCTTTAAAAGAATATATATATATTGTTTTTCAAATTTTCCTCGTCACATTTGCCCAACAGCTGGTCTACTGTAAGTGTTAATATAATGAAAAGTTTCATGTCTTTTTTACTTAAAAAATGAAGTATTGTCTACCAAGATGAAAATCGGAAAGTTTTTATTTTGGTTTTAAAAACTGATCCTGTTTAAGATTTAATGTGATGTTTTATGAAAGGGAGGGAAAGTAGAGCTCAGTTTATGTTTAATCTTATTTTCTAGTTTAGTGTATTTCAGGTTACATGAGGACTATGTGCTGATATGCAGGAGTTCACAGTGAAGGGAAGTGAAACAGAGTGTGAGGGAGAAACTGGTGGAGCAGAAAAATGTTCAACTGAAGAATCTTAAAGAAAGTCATTTCTCCCACAGTAAAGATGTTCCAGTTTCTGCTGTCTGGTTAGCAGGTGTGCGGTTCCTGATCTCTAACCTGATTGGTGTTCCTAGGTGATACCCGCCCCACCCTGACAGTGCTGCCCCCCTCCAGTGTGGAGCTGCAGCAGCAGCAGGTTACCCTCCTGTGTCTGGCCAACAAGGGCTTCCCCTCAGACTGGACTCTGTCCTGGAAGCTGGACGGCAGCAGCAGCAGCAGCTGGGAGCAGAGCAGGAGCCCCGGGGTGCTGCAGAATGACGGCCTCTACAGCTGGAGCAGCACCCTGAGGATCCTGCAGACCAGTGGAGGAAGGTGGGCTCTGTGACCTGTGAGGCCTCCCAGAGCTCCCAGTCTGCAGTCACAGAGACACTGAGGAGAGACCAGTGTTCCCAGTACTGAGCTGATTCTGATACTGGCTTTAATCTGTCACTGCTCTCACTCTATCTCTGCTGATTATTCTGAATTTTCACTGAGTCATGTTTGCTTTGTCATGTTTGTCACTGTTCAGATAATAAATATTTACTCATCAACTTCTGGTGTGTAGCTGCTTTTATATTCAGCTTTAAATCT